CTGCCGTTCCGACTTCTCCAAAGTGTCTTTCCCCTATACATAAATACACGTATATATAGGCCACTTCATTCCTTCCTCCTCTCGCTGAGGAAGATCTCCAAGGCATGCTTGGCAAGACGAAATCCTACGATAAAGCTGTGCCTACAGCGCTACGGAGAGGTGTGTGGACACGTTCTGTCCATTATGACAATGGAAATTCAGGCTTAAAAAAACAACAACAAAAAAGGCAATAGCAGCATGTAAACAAGGATTTGTGTTCATGTCATCCACCTTTTCTTCCTCCTCTCCTGAGCCACATTCATCAGCGTCGACAGTCCCTTCTCACCACCCTGCTCCCCTCTCAAGGGTTTCACTGCAGACCCCATCCCTCGTCCCCCCCCAGCTCCCAGCCACCAGCCAGTTTGGATTTCCCTTTCCACCAGCTCCCTCCCCGCATCCTTCCCTTCCTGGTGACTCATCCTGGAGATGATCTTGGTGGGTTTTTTTTTTTTTTGTCTGACAGCTGCTGCCCACTTTGGCTTCAGCAAAGTCTCATTTCCGAGCGATGCCGCCGGAATAAAACCCGCGCGCGAGGGCTCGGTGGGACACGTGAGCCGTTCAGCGTCTTAACTCCCGGAGGAAAAAAAAGCAATGGAATCCTTTGTGTTTTGTCTGTCTCCCAGCAGCAAAAGTGCAAGTCCCAAGAGCAATGCCTGTTTTAAACCCTTAATTCCTGAATTCTCGACAACGTCGCAAACCACTGGGGTTTCGCAGGAATCACAAGGGCTGGTTTCAAACGCTTTCCTTGGTGCAGCCTGCACCGGAATGCAAAAATGCGTCAAATGGGCTCAATTTTTCTGCATGCTCTTGCAGTATCCGCTTTTCCCAACCCCCAAAATTGTTTCCTCGGCTTCTCACCTCTCGGTTTTGAGGTCCTGCTAAAGAGCCGTTATCTGAGTTAGCTCCGACGTGGGGGTGGTTGGACTCTGCTGGGCGACAGCCACCATGGGGATTTCCATGCCTAGTCAGGCCGGATTGTTAGTCCCCTCCGAGTTCTTGCAGGCGTAAGCCACGTCCTTGGCGATGCTGCACATCCTGTTGGACATCTGGAGCTCGGTCCTGAAGGCGGTGGGGAAGCAGAACTTCTTGAAACACGCCTTGAAGTTCTCATCTAAGAAGGCGTAGAGCACGGGGTTGAGGCTGCTGTTGGCGTACCCCAGCGCGGTGCAGAAGCAGGAGATGGCCAGCTCGAGCTCACTTTCTGCCTTGGCACCTAGGCACTGGACCAGTACGAAAATCTGGATGGGAGTCCAGCAAACGATGAAGACTGCCACCACCACCAGGACCATTCGGGTGATGCGCCTCAGGTTTCGATCCTTCTCCTTGGAGCCTGAGAGGACACGGACGTTCTTGAGCCGTCTGATCATGAGACTGTAGCAAACGGTGATGATCAACACGGGGATCATAAAGGAGAAGAGAAAGACACAGATGCCAAACACTGGATCCCAGTAATCCACGGGTGAAGGGAGTTTAATTAGGCAATCAATTTCTGCAAGTGAAAAGATAAAAAGGAAAAAACGTTCAGCAAATCCATACCAAGAAGAAAAGTATCTTCATGCTCAGTTTAGTTTAGGCATGTTTAATACTGGAAAAGCAGGAGCAGTGACGCAGAGACGCGAGGGCAAAGAGGGAAGAGTTAAAATGGCTTTACCACGCAGAGCTCACCACACTGATGAAACTGGTACCCCTCCCCAGTGACTCCCCAAGCCCACAGGCTCTCCTGGCCACCAACACCTCCCACTCCAACGGATGCATTTTTACTAACCATTGTTTTCATTCTCTGCAGATCCCATCACCATCGCCGGGATGCCAAAGACAGAAGCCAGTGCCCAGATGCAGACGTTCACCACTTTGGCCTTGTGGGGAGTGCGGATGTCCAGCGCTTTGATAGGGTGGCAGATAGCAATGTAGCGGTCCACGCTCATCATCGTCAGGGTGAAGGTGCTCGTGAACATGTTGTAGTAGTCTATAGAGATGGCAATCTTGCAGAGGACATTGCCAAAGGGCCAGAAGCCCAGGAACGTGTCTGTACCCTGGAAGGGTAAGGTCATCAGGCACAAGGTATCAGCCAGAGCGAGGTTAAAGATGTAAATGTTGGTTGCTGTCTTCATCTTGGTGAATCTGAAATGTCAGAATAAGCAACAGTTAGAGCTCCACCTGGCCACACTGGGTGAGACGTTGAAGTCTACTGAAGAGGGTATTCTGCCACTTTAGGAAGGAGATGATGTATTTTTCTTACGTAGCAAGAGGCTGCACACCACTCTCTCCTTTCTACCTCCCACATGCTTATCAACACACAGCTCAACCGAGCTCCTACAACGATACAAATGGCACCTTCACAGTCATTTTCATGGCCAGGAGAAGCTTATTCCCTCAAACTGCAAGCAAGGACCATGAAAGCCAGAGGCTGTCAATTCAGATGGTGCTTTTTGAAAAAAAAAAAAATGGCTTCAGTAAGGCTAATCAAGGATTTCATCACATACAGCTTCATTATCATAAATATCAGTGAAAGCTTTACCCGGTAAGCTGATTTAAGAGGCATCATATGGTCCAGGGATAAGTTGATTAGACATTTCGTATGGGCTCATGGCCAAAGACTACAGCTAATGTGAGCTATCAAACCAGAATGGGCAAGATGGCCAGCCCTGGCCAGTGGCAGCTAAAAACTAGTGAGGAATGAGGTTTGTATCAGAAATTATAATATCACAAAGACATAGTTTGGGGATAAAGTAATGAGTTAACTCTATTTCAAAGGGGTTTTGTCATTTCTGTATTGCCTTTATTGCACAAAGTGACCGCCCCACAAGAAGGTTCACCTTGCTCTAATGGTAATCACCTCTTCTTCACGCATGGGAAACGATGCAAAGAAAGATGTGATCACCTACCCAAGGATATATGCAGAATCTGCAGAAGTGGAAACTCAGTTGTGTCTCTCTGATCCTAACAGTTCAGCTCCAGGATGTTCCTCTCTTGGGCAAAATAAGAGCTCAAATACACATTGTTTTAAAAGTCCAGCCCATTATCATTTACTTTACTAACAGCCTTTGCAGAAACGTTGGCAGAAGTGGCAGACAATGATGTGTGTTACTAACAGAGGGCAAGTTCATCTGAGGGCAACACTTAAACCCACAAACTACTGCACTATTTTCAGTTTGATATGTGTTAGAATATTATGGGGTCTGATTTGACCTAAAAACCTCTTTTTGTCAGATTGATTCAGAATAGCAAACCCACAACCGCACTTCTCGGTGCTGTATCCTCCCCTGATGACCTGGGCTTCAGCTCCTGATCAATTATTTGAATGTTTGGAGGAACATTATCACTGTCACGCTCTGAACTCTGTTAAGACACATGGTGACCTAGCCAGGTTTGCAAGAACAACAGCCAGGGAGCAGATCCACAATCCAAAATATAAAGTCTATTTTTTTTACCCCTCTTAGAGCTCTAAGCTATGCTTGAATTAGAATTCAGATGATGGAAAGTGGCTTCAGAAAGCAAAACCAAACAATCCTACATTTGATCTTGAAAGCCAAGGGAAGCTTTTGGAGCAGGTGAACGTTGATGGACACAATTGAGGTCCCTACATAAGCCTGAGTCAGGCTTCTCCTGGCCCAGAAATCACAGCTGCCAAGCAAGACAGCAGGTTCTTAGAAAGCCAGATCAGATAAATGCATATAACAAAAAGCAACAGAGAAAAAAAAAACAGCATCTTTCCTATTGTGAAGGGATGAGCAAGTAAAATACCTTGCAAATCCAACACAACCAGGCAGCTGCCAGTGCTTTAACACTTTGGGACATCCTAAGCAGAATCATAGAATGGTTTGGGTTGGAAAGGACCTTCAAGATCATCTAATTCCAACTCCCTGGACACCCCCAAGTCCTTCTCCTTGGGGCTGCTCTCAACCCATTCTCCATACAGCCTGTGCTTGGGATTGCCCCAACCCATGTGCAGGACCTTGCACTTGGCCTTGCTGAACCTCATGAGGTTCACACAGGCCCACCTCTCAAGGTTGCTCTGGATGACATCCCTTCCCTCCAGCGTGTGGACCACACCACACGGCTTGGAATTACACAGAAACAGTCTCCAGTGCCGTGAACCCCAGAGCAGCAGCATCTCAGGGTGGGTGAGTTCTGCTTCTTTATTTGAATTCTCGCAGTTGGCATAAATGAGGTGCTGCACATAGGGAGCACGGATGGGTCTGCAAATGGATTCAGACACTTTCCCTTCCACTAATTAAAATTAAGAAATTAAATCACTGTTCTTTATCAGCCCCCACAAAAATAAGTATTGTCAGCGTAAGCTTCAGGGAATTATTCTGTCTCTTAGGATTGTGTTAGCAAAGGTCTCCTGGGAGCTGTGGTCTTCCTCCATGTACCACAGACCTGGCCAGGCACACCCAAGCTTCCCAAAGGTCCAGCTTGCTCCCATCCATCCTTCCAGGAAGACTGCACTTGGAGACAATTCATCAACATGCCTCTAACCCCACTGTTTTTATTCATGTTATAACTTCAGAGAACAAAAATGGCATTTTTGAACCACGATGGGCAACTTCACCACTGGAAACAGAAAAAAATTAAAGGTGTGGGGTTTTTTTTATGTAGGTGTGGGGTTTTTTTTTCCACCAGTGGAAGAAACAAGTAGCCCTCTCCAAGATACTTCTCAGCAAGACCTCAGAGTCCAGGTGCAATCGCTCAGCCTGGCCCTGCAAAACCCTCTCTCCCCCAACGCACGGACCCCTTTCCTCACTGTCCCCCCTCCTCGTGGTGACAGCAGAGCCACCAACCCTCGCTCCCTGCGACACGGGGACACGCTGGGGTGGCTCACCTCCTTCAACCCACCTTCCAGTGGATTTTAAGGCTGATTTTGTGCTCTTGAAAGGTGGGGAATTAATTTACACCTAGTTAATTACTTGTAGCTCCTCTTTCTCTGCACACCGAGAGCCAACAGCCATCATCCCAACCAACCAATGTTCCCAAACATTTCCAGAATGTTCAGTACAAACAAAAATCAATTAATCACTTCTCTGAGGATTAACCTCTTTTTCTTCACCTCCGGGAACTGAGAGTGTTCTCTTTCTTAATCTGCACCAAAAAAAAAAAGGCAAATTAAACTTTCAGGCTTTAGGAGGCACCTAAGGTGCCCCCCATGGCACAGCTCGGATGCAGATCAGCCTGTGGCCTCCATGAAGGACATTAGCTCCCCACTGAGCCACTTTCTTGCACTCGGTCACGGAGGCAATTTCCTAATGGAACATCTCCCACAGGGCAGTTCCCAGCTCTCCATCCAGCTCCTCCACCTTCATCGTAAAAGTAACCTGTTTGCTCTGCTCTCCTGTTCTCCCACCTGCTGAAGCTTAAGAGGAAAAGCACCTGGATATCAGCTCAGCACCCGTGCTCCTCCTCCTTTTTGCCAAGCGGACCTCAAGCAGCGTCGCCCAGGACAAAGCCGTGCTTCAGCAAGGGGAACCCACCGTTTGGGAGAGGAGGGGATGGGGAGGAAAGAGCTCTCCCGCATAATGGACTTCGAGGTTCTGTTTTATCACAAGGATGGATCCTGTCCCTGGCTGAGCCTCAGCGTGAGCTGCAAGCTAGCATCACTGCCTCCTTCCCACCCATGCACCATGAGCCTGCAGGGCAGCCAGCAGCTCTAGATGCTCCAGGGCTATGGATCAGCTGATGGTGGCAAACCTACAACCTAGAACAGGGCTGCGGACACCAGGGGCAGAGGGACCGGAGCAAAGCCTTCAGCCCTGGGAAGCCACGAGCGTTATCTCCAGAAGCCCTCTTCTGCCTCTTGATCTTAATATTTGTAGCTCCAGCTAATCAGATGCAGACTGTAGTGTTCACCTTGAGCAGCAATCCTCCACATCCCCACCCCATGCCCTGGCATCAGGGACAGCCTTTGCCACCCTCCCCAGACACCCACAGGGAAGTAATATAGAATGGAAAAGGCTCAGGGAGGATTTTTCCTGAGCTGCTCCCACCCTCTGACAGTGGAAACCAGCAGCGGTTCACTGACATCTCTGCTTAAGCTGCTCTTAGCCCACAGGTTGTACAAAGCTGATGGCTGAGCTGGTACCAACCATCACAATTTGTGTCCCCCCCAGCCACACACTCACCACTGTGCTCTGATCACCATTTCAGAGCCCCCATCATCCTGAAATTACCCAATTCAAGACAGTGTATTCTTAAAGGTTCAACAGGTCAGGAAAATAAAAAAAAAACACAGCAGAAAATTTAAGAACAACAAATTTAAGTCACTTTGGACCTTGAAGCCAGATGCTACAACAAAAGCAGGTAAAAGCCTATTAATTGCCTGGGGACAGATGATTTCCTCACCCTTTGGAGTCTCACTGCCATGTCCAGCTGACGCTGGTGCCCTCCCTCCCTAAGGGACTCTCTGGGACCAGCGTGGAGGGGACATGGCATGGCCCTGATGGCCACCACACCAAGGGGAGAGGCTGGGGGGCTGCTGCCAAAAAGCCCTCTGTGGCTCTGCTGGGGGCTCGTGGGGATGCTCATGCAAACCCGAGTGGGTGCGTGGCCCCCAGGAATGGTGCTTCAGTCCAAGCAGGCTGTTTGCCAGCATCCATCCTGCAGCAAGGTGCTCCCATCCCTGTTCGTGTGCTGATCTGCCTCTGCTGAGCTGCTCATGTCCTACCCGCTGCTGGGAAATTCCCAGTCCCTGAAAAGTACTGGGAACCAAGTCCCACATTAAACATCATGGAATTACTGCAGGATGCAGGTGATTCCTTTCCACTCATCCCACCATAGCCAGGGGAAACCAAGAGCCCGTCAGCACATGTTGGAGTCACAGGAATCGTGTTATCAGGGGCCACACGCAGCTGCCATGAGCCATACGACTGAGCCCAGCTCACCTGGGCAGGGGGAACTGGAAACTGGGGAGGCGCAGACCTGCCCTCTGCAGCTGGTCCCTCTCCCACTCCCCTTGCCATCCTCCCCCGGCTCCCATCACTCTGCACAGCAGAGCCCTTGGCATGTGTTTCCCTTCTCTACAAATTGAAACAATTGTAGGATATTTTTTGCCAGGAAAAACTTCAAGAGGCTGATCTGGAGAGAGCTGAGGTCTCAGGTGGCCCCACCGCTGTCTGCTGGGTCCGCTCCGCATTAAACACTCACTTGATTTCAGCTCCGAGACACACAGCGGGTCGAGGCTCTTCCCTTGGAAAGCTTTCTATAAAGAAATCAGCATCTCTGCAATGTCATAATGAACTTTGTTTTCCCAGTCTCCTCACCGCCAGCTGCCCTCACCCCTGTGCTCAGGGACTGATGCAGTTTTCGAGCAGAAGAACAGCTGGCACAGCCAGCCCGGTGTGGGCACCTCCCCATCACAGCCCTCCTCCTAAAGCTTCACCTGGAAGCAGCAAATGGAAGCCTGATAGCTCTAACCTGCTTAAAAAGCTGCTTAAAATGCTCTGAAACAGCGTTCTCCAACAGGAAGAGCTGAGCATCCCCAGTACTTTGCTGGGATCCCAACAGAGCTGCTGTGGCCAAGAGAAGCGCCCTGGAAAGGAGGGACCATTCCCACAGGGACTGATCCAGATGGGCAGAGCCAACACTGAGGATGGGGAGAGCTCCAGATGGTCACTGCCGAGCAGCACGGAGCAAGGGACAGCAGAGGACTTCCCGGGCAAGACACTGCGTGTTGTCCCTGGTCCCTTCCCTGGCACGCTTGGCTTGGGGGGGTCTGGGACACCCCGTGCCTGCGTCAGTGTCACCTCCAGCCCCATGGGTCATCCACCCCCAGGGCCACTGCAAGAACAATACATCCCCCTTCCCCTTCGCTTTTCTTCCTAAAAACAAAGCTCAGGGGCATCCAGCCTTGCATCATTCTGACAACAGCTAACAGGGACCTCAGGCTCCCAGTTTCCCCCACTCCCCCCCAACCCCTCTCCACCTCATGCTGCTCAGCTCCCAGTTCCGCATTCATTAAAAAGCAGGACGGGGAAATATATGCAGAAGAGAAGGAACAGCAGAAGGGGAAGGAGGGAGGGGAGGAATTATCTCCGCTGGCGAGGAGCTCCACAATGAGCGAGCAGAACAAAGCAGCAGCCAAGGCAGGTCCCACAACAAGCCCTTCACTGTCCAGGAAATCGTGTTCCTGACAAGAGCCCTCCTCGTTCTCAGCCAATTAGTGCTGCTCAGCGTTAGAAGGGGATTGACAGTCACATGATGAGTCTCTATAAATTAATCATTCCAAATGTTAAATCACTCCGAATATAACAGAGATGGAGGCTGGGTTCCACAACAGAAGGGAAAACCCAGAGGAGGCTTTGAATTTGTACTTTCGTGTGAAGTACTGGGAGATTTTCAACTTTTCCCTCAGTGCTGCAAAAAATTCATTCAAGAGGAATGAAAACCAAGCCTTCTTGATGCCTCCAATTTCCTCGAGTGCTGATATTAGAGTCTTTGTATTTCTCAGCTCCCTCAAAAACAGGAAACAATTACTGCCTACGTCACCGCACCGTTCTTTTTGTGGAACATAACACACCAGCTTCTTACAGGTTGTGTAGCATGCTGAAGTCTGGGTATCCCTGGTGAAATGTAAGCATGGAAAAAAAAAACAAACAGCTTTTGTAGGGTGCACCATATCTACAGATGGTGGGGGTGCAGCACAAAGGGTTTGCCAGTCTTTTTTTCATTAATAGAAGAGACATATCGCTAAAAGTCCCAAAACCCCATGCTGACTTACCAGCAACCATCTGAAAAAAGATGCTATTTAAGGCATGAAGCCCAGAAGCACCAGTGCTCCATTCTGAGGAGAAAAAACTGTGCTTAAGAAGTCATCAACATCCTCCTTGATGGCCACTAATTTGGCAGCTCTGAGCAAATCTGCATACATGAGCAGGGTCAAAAATTTGAGATATTGAGCCCAGTTTATCACCACACCTGCTCCTGGCCTCAACACACAGGGCAAGGAGAGAAGAACCCAGGGTAACCAGAAGCTGCAGTTACTCATCGAACCAAGAAGGGTCATTTCCCTGGGTACAACTGAGCATTAGGCTCAGCTGCTACTGAACTCCCAGGAGACACTGATGGGGAGAACCAGGGGGAAGCAGCTCCTGCTCCTACACATGCTCTAGCTCAGTTACAACTTCCTCAGCACACATTATTCAAGGGGCCCCTCCAGGCTCACAGTTGTTTTTTGGGAAAAACAGAGGTGAATCCCCCAAAAGTACCACCCAAACAATTAAAACTTCTGTTGACTGTTTTTGTATGTTTTCTGGATACAGAGGAAATGGAAGAAATGGAACAGAGAAGGGGGAGATGAGGGTAACACCTATCTTCAGTTTTCAATTGCTTAAAACCAAAGAACACAAAAAGTTAAGTGCCAGGGGAAATTCCAGTACTGAACCCCACTTCCTTTTCTTGGGTCCCATTTATCCAACTAGAAGACATCAAAGCCAAAGAGAAGTGGAAACAGAAGCCACCATTTCAAAAGCACGGCCCTGCATGGCCACAGCACACATCCACCCTGACCAAGACGCTGGTTTGGGACACTCACATTCTTGATGACACAGTGGTCACAGTCCCAGGCAGGGGCCAGCAGGGTCCTGCTGTCCAAGTCCCACGAGACCTTTGCAGATAGGGAGAGGGTTTCTGCCAAGGCTTCTCCTCCTCCACTTGTCTCAGGTTCATGCGTGGGACACAGACTCCCTTCCCATCCGTGCACATGGGCTGGCATTCCCAGGGACCTGCAGCATCGTGGGGCAGGAACTTCTTGCTCACAAACTCACTACTCACCACGCTTACTCGCACCCACAAACACGGTGCCTACTCGAACGATTGCTACACACTGAATAGGAACACGAGCTCTCCAAAAGCAGCACTGCTGCACTGCAAACCTGCTCTCTCCATCCCCAGACTCCTTAGGGTCAACGTGATCTCTTCTCCCTGCTGTGAACTCCTC